TTCAAGCTTTCTTCTCAATCTTCTTGAAGATACGGTCTGCCTTGAACCCCCTGCCTGCAGAGCGGGTGGGTGCAGCCTCGATCTGATGTGTTCTGGCAGCCTCAGGGAAGCCCATCCTGTAGAGGGTGACACCAGGACAAGGCCCCTGCAGTGCTTTTAGCCATGATTTCCACATAGCTAGCTAGCTCTCCTGGTTTGTTTATATTGTTGCTTCCCCCCCCCCCCCCCCCCCCCCCCCCCCCCCCCCCGTCCTGGGGCTTGAACTTTGAGCCTGGGCGCTGTCCTTGTGTTTCTTTTTGCTCAAGGCTAGTGCTCTACCACTTCAGCCACAGCTCCACTTATGGCTTTTTGGGGTGATTAATTGGAGATAAGAGTTTCACAGACTTTCCTGCCCTGCTGGCTTCAAACCATGACTCTAATTTCAGCTTCCTGAGTAGCTAGGATGACAAGCATGGCACTCGGCTGACCATGACATTTTGATTTTTTTTTCAGTCTAGGCTGAGCTGGGAGCTGGTGTCTGTAATTCTAGCTAGTCAGCTGAGATCTGAGGATTATGGCTCAAACTGGGCAGGAAAGTCTATGAGACTTTAATCTTCAACTAACAAACAAAAAGCTAAACATAGTAGTGGCATGGTTCACATGGTAGAGCTCCAGCCTTGAATGGAACAGTCAGCATGAGGCCCTGAGTTTCAGTCAAGTGATGGATATCAGCACCAAAAAAATATAAAAAAAGACTCCAGGCTTATTTTGTAGAGTTTCCTTCAGTTTGGTTTATCTGAAGTTTCCTCATTAGATTCTAATCATTCCTGATTAGATGCAGCAAGAGTGCCACAGAAGTGCCCTTTTGGTCACTTGTGTGAAGTTACAATTCTTTGTGTTTCGTATTCTGGTAGAATCACTGATACACCGTATAGATTGGCCTTCGAGGAAGAACTTCCTGCTCCATTGGGACAAATGTGTTCTATGGCCAGCTTGCCGCTGCCAGGCTCTTTGAGCATGACTCACCTCACCCAAGGTCAACACCCTTCCTGATTTGGCCTGCAGGGCTCCGAGCTTGAGTGAGATGGAGCTAGATTTCTCCCCCAAGTGTCCTGCCAGCCTGCATTGCACGCAGATTTCCCCTCCTTTCCAGTCACATGTTTTCCCTAGTAAACGTACTATACCTCAGTGCCTCAGCAGGATTCTAGAAGACAACTTCAGACTTCTTATGAGGAAACACTGTCAAACACTAAATAATTTGTCCCTTCTTACTATTACTTAACTGTGCTTGGGGGGAAGGAGAAGGGGAACTAAGACTTAAACTCAGGGCCTGAGTGCTTCCCCTTAGTTTTTTCTCTCCAATCTGGTGCTCTCCACTTCTAGTTTTTTGGTGGTTAATTGGAAATAAAGAGTTTCATGGGTTTTCTTGCTGGCTTCCAACCATGATCCTCAGATCGCAGTCTCCTGAGTAGCTAGGATTAGAGGCATGAGCCACCATCACACAGCCAAGTAACTCTTTTCAGCATACTTTGAGGATTTGTACATGAAACAGTTTACTGTGCTATTTGCCAAATGGTGATTTTTTTTTCTCCCTAATTCCATCATTTCCTCTACATTTTTTAGAACTCTATGGCATGGAATAGTTATTCTTCCTATTTATTGATTGACTTGTTAACGTACACATACAAAAGTAGATTTTATTATATGGATAATCTAGTGGTTATTCTGTTATTCAAATTGGCCAAGATTTGGCCAATAGCAAACCTCTCCTTCTGGTTTTTGTATGTGTTTGGCAGGTCTTCCTCATTTTATAATTTTTTTTGTGCTGGTACTAAGACTACAGGGCCTTGAACTCAGGGCTTGGGTGTGCTGTCCCTTAGCTTTTGTTGTTGTTGTTGGTGGTGGTGGTGGTGGTTGTGGGGCTTGAACTCTGGGCCTGGGTGCTGTCCCTCAGCTTTTTAGCTCAAGGCAAACACTCTACAGCTTGAGCCACAGTGCCACTTCCGGTTTTCTGAGTGGCTTATTGGAGATAAGAGTCTCATGTACTTTCCTTGCCTGGGTTAGCTTTGAACCGTGATCCTCAGATCTCAGCCTTCTGAGTAGCTAGGATAGTAGGCATGAGCCACCAATACCCCGGCTTCCCTTAGCTTTTTTGTTTAAGGTTGGCCTTTTATCATTTGAACCACAGTTCTACTTTTGGTTTTTGTGGGATTAATTGGAGATAAGAATCTTAGAGACTTTACTACAGTGATCTTCAGATATCAGTCTCCTGGGTAGTTAGGATTGCATGCATGAACCACCAGCGCCCAGCTATAAAACTTACTTTCTTCCATCACAATATTTTTCAGGGTTGTCTGGGTGGTTTTTCTTTATTTGCCATTTCAATTTCAAAATGCGTATTTTTTTTGGGTCCGGTTGTGGGGCCTGAACTCTGGGCCTGGGCGCTGTCCCTCAGCTCTTCAGCTCAAGGCTAACGCTCTACCACTTGAGCCACAGTGCCACTTCCGGCTTTTTTCTTTATGTGTTGCTGAGGAATCGAACCCAGAGCCTCAGGCATGCAAGGCAAGCGCTATACCACTGAGCCACCTTCCCAGCCCAAAATGCGTATATTTTTAAAAAGCAAAAACACTAAAGTACCAGAAGAAAATATGTGTTGCTGCACCTCAGTGGCTTACGCCTGTAATCCTAGCTACTCAGGAGGCTGAAATCTGAGGATCACAGTTCAAAGCCAGCCCAGGCAGGAAAGTCTGTGAGATGCTTATCTCCAATAAACCACTAGAAAACCGGAAGTGGCGCTGTGGCTCAACGGTAGAGTGCTAGCCTTGAGCTGAAGAGCACAGGAACAGCGCCCAAGCCCAGAGTTCAAGCCCTATGACCAACTCCTCCCCTCCCCCCCCAAAAAAAGTGTGTGAATGATTATCAAATTTGTGTGGAGACAGCAATCAAAGTTTCAAGCTCCAAAGTTCAATATTTTTAATCCCAATAGAAAGAAATGGATATATAATGTAAAAATTCACAGAGAGAAAATGAAAATGGCCCACTAACATATGAAGAGAAGCTTATTCTCGCTTGTAAATAATACAAAGTAAAATTAATACTAAAAGCTTAAAAACACTCAATTGGGTAGACTAAAGAAAAACAGGCTGTCTCATGCATTTTCACTTCAGGCTTTATTTTTTTATTTGCTGATTAATTGGAGATAATGGTCTTAAGGATTTTTCTGCTGGGACTGGCTTCAAACCTTGATCTTCAGATCTCAGCCTCTTGAGTAGCGAGGGTTATAGGCATGAGCCACCAGCACCTGTCAGATTGGCAAAGACTTTTAACTAGGACATACCACATGAATCATAAAGAAAAATGTAGGTGAGCACCGGTGGCTCATACCTGTAATCCTAGCTACTAAGATCTAAGAGTCAGTGTTAAAAGCCAGTCCAGGCAGGAAAGTCTGTCAGAGACTATTCTCCAATTAATAGCTAAGAAGCCAGTGGTGGAGGTATGACTCAAGTGGTAGAGTGCAAGTAAGAACACAAAGCTCTTGAGTTCAAGCCCCAGTATTGGCACATATACACACAAAATGTTCTGTGTGTACATCACCCAGTGCAGTTGATGCGGAAAAGCTCTCAGTCTTGTGGTACAATCAGTTGTGTTAAAACTTTGCATCCTAAGCATTCATGGGTTTTCCTCGTGCTGGTCTTGGAACCATATCAGCAGATAACAAAGGTTTATTGTACCAGTAAAAAAGAGAAGTAGAATGTATAAACTCTTAAATCAGTGATACAAGAAGCACATGCACGCCCGCGCTCTCTCTCTCTCTCTCTCTTGTGTGCGCGTACACACACACACAACACACACACACACACACACACACACACACACACACACACACGTGTCAACCAGGGTTGAAGGTATAGCTCAAGTAGTAGATTGCTTGCTTAGTAGTACCTATTAGGCCCTGGGTTTTCTTAAGAAAAACAAGGTGCCAAAAGCCAAGTGTGTATGTATACCATACTATGAATAGAATGAAGTTGTGGCCTGCAGAATAGGGTAAGGTATAACAATCTTATATATTTCATGAAGAACTAGAAAACAGGAATAAGAGTTTAAGGACTGTATGCATAAAGAAATCACATATAAGGGCAGAGAAATGCTAATTACACTGATTTGAGATTATTGCACCTTGATTGCATGTTTTGAAATAAAACATATCACCTAAATAGGGGTGGTGTTATGTGTTCACTTTTAACATTTAATTTGAGTATAGCTTTTACAAAGAGATTGGATAAAGTACATTACAGGCTAATAACTTAGTTTTGAGAGAGAAGTAGTATTTTCTTGCAATTATCATTGTTAATTCACTTTTATAACATTGAGCTAAACAATAATTTGAGTAATTGTACTGTTAATAAGAATTTAGGAGTGAAGGCATGGCTTAGTGGTAGAGCACCTTCCTACAAACACCAGTATCATATGTGTGCACACATACACATATCTTAGTAGCCAGGCACTGGTGACTTGTTTCTGTGATTAACTACTCAGAGGGTTGAAATTTGTTGAGTGCCGGTCCTGGGCCTTGAACTCAGTGCCTGTTCACTGTCCCTGAGCTTTTTTGCTCAAGGCTAGCACTCTGCCACTTGAACCATGTTTTTTTTGGTGGGTACTTAAAGGTAAGAGTCTCATGGTGTTTCCTTCCTGAGTTGGTTTTGAACTGCAGTCCTCATTTCAGCCTCCTAAGTAGCTAGGATTATAGGTACAAGCTACCAGTGCCCAGGCAAGAAAAGACCAAGAGATTCTGTTTCTAAGTAACTGGCAACAAGCTGGGATGGAGGCATGGCTCCAACTATGAGTAAACTCAAGAAGAGGGAGAGGCCCTGAGTTTAAGTCCTTGTACCAGCAATCTTTTAACATTTTAACGTTTTTTAAAGCTTGATGAAAATAATGTTGGATGAATACTGAACTTGAAATAAAACTTAGGTACAAAATGTTCAAAGTATATTTATTCGCTGTTTTTTCTTCTATTCTAGATACCATTTCTAAAGATGAAACTGGTAAGGTCCTTTCAATCTTATTTTAAGTAGAATATGTATGGTATCTTAATTGTATCATATATACTTTTTATTTACTGATGAATATATGTTTTTGTTTTTCAAAAAGGAATGACTTTCCTTTAACATTTTCAATAATTAAAATAAAATACAGTGTTGTAGTTATTCCCAGACATTCATTTTATATTATTTAAATGAAATGAAGGCGTTTTTATTTGTAAGGCACCTTACTCCTCAAACTATGTATTTCTGTCTTGTGTGTCCTTCAGAAGTCTCTGTACAGATTCTTAATATCAGTTCTCAGTGGATTCTACTTTCACCATATGTAAATGTCACTGTGGTTCTCTTAATTATGCATTTGTTTAAAATAGCAAATTGCTACTCACAGATATTTAATGAAGTATCTAGACTTTAAATTTGAAAATTATTGTGCTAGATCAAGGAAAGTAAAGGGTTTTTGTTGTTGTTTTTCTGTTGCCTGGTTTTTGGCAGGACTAGTTTAAACTTGCTAAGCTAGCATTCTACCACTTGAGCCACACTCCTAAAGCTTTCCCTGTAGTTATTTGGATAGGATCTTAACATTTTATTTTTCAGATAAAGTCTTGCATTTTTGCCTGGATGCTAGTTTGAATCACAACCTGGAATGACAGCTTGCACTACCATGCCCAGCTTTTTTGTCAAGATAGAGGGTGGGGGAATCTCACCAACTCTTTGCCCAGGCCGGCCTGTAAATCTCTGCCCTCTGAGTAGCTGGGATTATAGTCAGGAGCTACTACACCCAAAGTGTACATGCCTAAAGTTTTATAATGACTCACCAGAGTGATAACACTTAGGGGGGAAAATGTTTTCTCAAAATTTCACTGAAATTAAAGTTTTATAAGTACAATGAGATAGATTACAAAAAAAAAAAAAAATCAGAATTTGTTTTGTGTCAGTCCTGGGGTTTGAACCCAGGGCCTGGGTACTATCCCTGAGCTTTTTTGCTCAAGGCTAGCACTCTGCCACTTGAACCATGGTTTTTTGGTGGATACTTAAATATAAGAGTTTCATGGAGTTTCCTTCCTGAGCTGGTTTTGAACTGCAGTTCTCATTTCAGCCTCCTAAATAGCTAGGATTATAGGTACAAGATACCCAGCTAAAATGTGATTTTTTTTTTTTTTTTACATAAAACACTAGATGATTTCTAAAACAGTTGGATAGCTTTAAATTATTAGTGTGTGTATATATATATATATATATATATATATATATTCTAATTACTGGAGACAATCAGGTAATAAGTATGTTACTCTTAAGTCCAAGTTTTAGTAACAGAAGAAACAAAGACTCAGTCATGGTAGGTTTATCTTTTTTTAAAATCAGAATTTCCTGGGTGTTAAAAGTTCAGATGCATAAAATACAGAATTTTTAAATTTCTTTAAAAACTTTTTGTGTTATTTGGGATTATTTACCATGTTTTTTCAGGGTCTTTTGGTAACATTTTTGGTGTTAATTCAGTTTTAAGCAATTGTTGAAACAGACTTGGACCTATAAATGACTTATTTTGAACATTGATTTAATTAAAGTTAACTAAGTTAATCTTAGTTAACTAAGATTTGACTTTACAAATTACTTGTAACCTGTGGCTTTTAACACACATATATGACTAGAAGATTGTAACAATCACATAAATTTGAATTTTGTTAAAACATTTTCTACTATTAGTTTTAACTGATTGCCCTGTTATAATTGATTACCCTTTGTTATAATTGATTATCTTCTGTTAAAATTCCTTACCCCCTGTTATAATGATTACCTTCTGTTAAGTACTTCCTATATTCCAGGCATTGTACTAGGCCTTTGTTTTCTTTCTTTCTTTCTTTCTTTTTGTCGGTTGTGGGGCTTGAACTCTGGGCCTGGGCGCTGTCTCTGTGCTGTTCAGCCCAAGGCTAGCGCTCTGCTGCTTGAGCCACAGCACCACTTCCAGTTTTCTGGTGGTTAATTGGTGATAAGAGTCTTATGGACTTTCCTGCCTGGGCTAGCTTTGAATCACAATGCTCCAATCTCAGCCTCCTGAGTAGCTAGGATTACAGGTATGAGTCACTGGCGCTCGGCCTTTGTTTTCTTTAACTGAGATATATATTTTAAAGCAGTCCATTTTGATTTTTTTTTCTCATAGAGAGTAGAAATGTTCTAAAAATACATGCTAAAAATATATATATATATTAAATATTTCAGGAATTTGTTACCTTACGCTGAGTCGTAAGTAAATAGTTAAGTTTATAAAGTATCTCACTGTTTACTATTTATCACAAAACTGTCCAATGGAATTTAGAGGAGAAATGACCAGCTTGACTGAATATACTGGCCAGGCAGTAAATATATATTCTAATTACTGGAGACAATCAGATTATAAGCATATTACTATTAAGTTCAAGTTTCAGTAACAGAAGAAACAAAGACTTGGTCAATGTAGGCTTATCTTTATCATTAAATCAGAATTTTCTGGGTGTTAAAAGTTCAGAGTTGCCAGGCACTGGTGGCTCACGCCTATAATCCTAGCTACTCAGGAGATCTGAGGATCACAGTTCAAAGCCAGCCCAGCAGGAAAGTCCATGAGACTCTTATCTCCAATAAACCACTAAAAAACTGAAAGTAGTGTTGTGGCTCAATTGGTAGAGCACTGGCCTCGAGTTGAAGAGCTGAGGGATAGCACCCAAGCCCTGAGTTCAAGCCCCATGGCTGACCAAAAAAAAAGTTCAGAGTTGATAAGTGACCTCACTGTGGTAAAAGGTGATTAAACTCCTACCTGGTTTTCTAAATCATCTATTCTATCTGTCTGTCTGTCTATCTATCTTATCTTATCTACCTACCATCCTACCTACCTACCTACCTAGGACCAGTACTGGAGCTTGAACTCAGGACCTGGGCACTGTTCTGTAGCTTTTTCACTAAAGGCTAGTGTTCTACCACTTGAACCACACCTCCTCTTCTGGCTTTTTGCTAGTTAATTAGAGGTAATAGTCTTAATGGACTTTCTTGCCTGGGCTCCCTTCGGCCTTGATCCTTTGATCTTAGCCTCCCTGAGTAGCTAGGATTATGGACATGAGCCACCAGCACCTTGCTCCCAATTCTATTTGAGACCATTGAACAGACCACAAGACTTGACTTGGAGGGAACAGATAGCATACAGAAATGCAGTTTATTGAGAAGCCAGATTTTCAGCAGGGATGAGTCAGTAGTAGTGGAAGCAAAAAGAGTGCATTTAAACATGAAAGAAACTGTGGTTGGAATTATATCTTGGCATTAAATGTAGAATCAGAAGTAGAATGGACTAAAAATGGTTCAAAAAATAGAAATAAAATTTTAGGGGTAACATAGAGAAAAGAACTTTAGATGGATTGGAATTCTGGCGTTATCACATTTAATAAGTAAGGGATGTTGGCCAAAACAAGACATTCTATGAAATTCAGTGTTGCCATTAATACATTTGAAAATAACCTTATAAGATCAACACTTTTATGAGGATTAAATTAAAATTAGTAAAGTGCACATTGTATACTTTCAAAGAGACTTGGAGTAGCTAAAGTCAAATATGATGACTAGGAAGGCCCAGAGTCTTATTAGGATGCACTGGCCAGGAATTTCACAGTCAAAAGGAAGATGAAACTAGATGTGCAATCTCATGGACATTTCTGCCCATCCTGGCTTCCAACCTTTATCTCTAACGGCAGCCTCTGGAAAAGCTTGTATTACAGGTGTGAGCTCCTGGTGCCCTATTGGAAAAAAAATTTTGATAGAAGTTGAGAGTGGCCAAAAGTTTTTCTTGTTAGCCTGTGTTGAATATGAAAATGATATTTAAGATACCTGTTCTGAAGAATACAGGGTAGCATTATTTAAATTTACCCATCATAATTGGCGATTTACTTTCAATTACCATTTACTTCATGATTTACTTTCATTTACCATTTGTTGGATTTAATATTCAGTCTTGATTGTTCTAAAAAAAATTCAAGTTGTTTAAAATGAACATTTAGGGAAAACTTAAAATACAAGTTGGCTGAGCATAGTGGCAGTGCACACCTGTTAGCACTAAGGAGGCTGAATGAGTTTGAATCTATTTTGGGCTACATAGTGAGTTCACGGCTAAATAAATAGATAAGAAACAACCCAGTGACTTGAAACAACCTCAGGAACTTGTCAAATCTCAGCTTAGGTAGTCTTTAGTTACAGACCAGACTGATAATCCCTTAAATATAGGGACAGAATATTTTCTCATATCTATTAATGTCAGTATGCAAGTAAAAGAATTATACGTATTTGATGTTTTAATGAGTCTTAATTTTTTTTAATTGGATCTGGTCACCTGACCCAGATAATGTATTTTTTATGTAATGCTTTTTCCTGTTGTCACTTGGACTCATTGAAATGTTATTTGTTTTTATTTGCCAGGAAAGACCGTTGTTTACCTTGTGGCTTTCCATCTGTTCTTTGTTATGTTTGTATGGTCCTATGGGATGACAATATTCACAACTCCCGCTACCCCCTCCAAAGAGGTAAAGTCAATGTTGGTTAATTGACAAATGCTTTAACTGATGATGGAAATGTTTTCCCTTGTGTTACCTAGTTAAGACTTTATATAATATATTTGTTTTGTTTCCATTCATAAAATTGTTTACTAACTGTATTTTGAATGTGAGTCATAGCCTATTTTCAGATATACAATTCACTGGTTTACTGTAGTAAATAGTTCAGTTGTACTAATATCTCTGACTCTCTCTATATTAAAATATATATATATATACTCAGGGCCTGGATGATGTCCCTTAGCTTTTTCATTAGAGGCTGGCACTCTGCCACTTGAGTCACAGCTCTGCTTTCAGCTTTTTGCTGATTAATTGGAGATGAATTCTGCCCACGCTGGCTTCAAACCACAGTCCTCAGATCTCAGCCTCCCAAGAACTACAGGCATGTGCCACCATCACCTGTTTATTTCCTTAAATTAAAAACATACTCTTTATTTCTGAGGTAAAAGTCCTAAGGGACCCAATTGAGTTATGGAAGTAATGTATTTTTGGAAACCCTCTTAGTATATTTTCTTAGGCAAGAACAAATACACTACAACTAAAGAAAGTGGTGGTAAAAAATTGTTCAGGTCATTGCTTCCTAAATCTTACTGTGATTAGTTTGTTGGGTTTTTTTCCCCCTATATAACTAGATAATCAAAATTAGAATCCTTGGCCATGTGTGGTTGACTACATCTATAATACCATTTACCTGTAGGTAATTGGCGGTCATCTCGAGCAAAAAACATGAGACCCTATCTAAAAACTAACTAGAAAAAAGGCTGTCTAGCAAGCAATCTCAAGACCCTAATTTCACTCTTCAGTACCACCAGAGAGAGAGAGAGAAAGGTGAGGGGAAGAAGGTAGAGAGAGGTTGAATGAGAAGGCTGAAGGAGGAAACGAGAAGCAGAGGAGGGAGAGAAAGGAGGAGGGGTGAAGAAAGAAGTAGAGGGAGAGAGAGAGAAAGAAGGAAGGTGTAAGAAGAATGAAGGAAAAAAGGGAAGGGGAGGGGAGCAAGGAGAGGAACTGAGAGATTCACTGAGTAAGGTATGGTGGCACATGCCTATAATCCTAGTGTTTGGATGGCTGAGGCAGGAAGATCCTGAGTGTGTTACATGGGTGGATTTTGTTTCAAACTCCTCCCTTAGAGGAAAAAAAAAATTTTTTTGCGGGGGGGGGGGTGAGGGGGGTGCGGGGGGGGGGTCCGGTCGTAGGGACTGAACTCTGGGCCTGGGCGCTGTCCCTCAGCTCTTCAGCTCAAGGCTAGCGCTCTACCACTTGAGCCACAGCACCACTTCCGGCTTTTTTCTTTTTGCGTATGTGGTGCTGGGGAATCGAACCCAGGGCCTCATGCATGCAAGGCAAGCGCTCTACCACTGAGCTACCTTCCCAGCCCAGGAAAAAAAATTTTTTTTAAATATTCCCTAGAATTAAACTAATCTGGATTTTATTTTCTACTCTAACACATTATGTGATCTCGGAGATTATTTTTTTAATCACAAAATGGAGCTAAATTAGATTTATCCCAGTGAAATATTACATAATGATGGTAGTTTCCCTTCATGTTGAAGATATTTATCATATGGTAAAAAAAATCAGCTTCCATTGAACACTTTGATAAACACACATGTAAAAAGAATACATGCTATAAATTTCTACTTGGTAAGATTTCACAAGCTAAGTATACCTTTTAACCACTACTAGGCACAGTTTCAGGAAACTGATCATTCCCACCCCCCTCAGTACCCTCATGCTTCCTTCTGGTCATCCATATCATAGAAATCACTCTTCAGCCTTTCACCAGCAAGGGTTGATTTTGTCTAGTTTTCTCTTCAGTACAAATCATCATGAAGTAATACATGTAGTAGCCATTGTCTGTATGCTTGTGCAGCTTGCATTCTGTTTGTGAGATTCACTTGTGTGGCTGTAGGTAGTGGTAGATCATTCATTTTCATTATCATGTAGGATTCTTTGGTGGCATATAATACAGTTTATTTACCAGATCTACTGTTAGTAGTTTGTTGGGAAGAATCATGAAAAATAGGCCTTCTGAAACATCTTGGGGAATGTATGTATGGTTCTTTTGTGAAGACCCCTAAGACTAAAGCATTCATGTACAAAGAGCAGAACATATCATATGTGCTATGTATAATAAACATCAGTAGATAAATTCCTTGCCCATTGTTTACCTTTGGATATTTTTATTTTAAGAAAAAAAAGTAAACCATAAAGCCAAAAACTTGGTGGCTCTTGCCACTCAAGAGGCTACTCAAAAGGCTGAGATCTGAGGATCTCGGTTCAAAGCTAGCCCAGGCAGGAAAGTCCATGAGACTCTTACCTCCAATAAACCACTCAGAAAAGTGGCACTGTGGCTTAAGTGGTAGAGTGCTAGCCTTGAGCTGAAGAGCTGAGGACAATACCCAGGCCCAGAGTTCCAAGTCCTAGGTCTGACCAAAAAAAAAATAAGGCTAAGATCTGAAGATTGCAGTTTGAAGCCAGCTCAGGCAGGAAATGCTGCAAGACTTATTTCCAACTAAGCATCAAAAATAAAAGTCAAAAGTGGAGCTTCCCAAGTGGTAGAGCACCAGCTTTGAGCAAAAAAGCTCAAGGATAGTACCCAGGCTCTGAGTTCAGGCCTCAGGACTGGCAACACACACAGAAAAGTAAATCTCCTAAAGGTTTCTTCAACCATATTCATCAGATCTTGATAATAGCCCTTAAAGTTATGCTATAAACTACTTAATTTCTCAGTTCATGGTGGGTGTTTAATAAATGTTGAATGAAATAAACTATTAATCTCTTGGTTTGGTTTTGTTTTTTATCGGTCATGGGGCTGGACGCTGTCCCTGAGCTCTTCAGCTCAAGGCTAGTGCTCTACCACTCGAGCCATAGTGCCACTTCCAGCTTTTTCTGCTTATGTGGTGCTAAGGAATCAAACCCAGGGCCTTATGCATGCAAGGCAAGCACTGTACCACTGAGCCACCTTCCCAGCCCCAACTATTAATCTCTTAATATTGCAAACATTGTAAAAGGAGCCTAATCGATGTTTCAGTAGCGTCATCTGAACATTGAATTTTAAGATAGTAGTGCAAGCTGTGTTTCAAGTGGTAAAGTGCTATAGTCTTGAGCAAAAAAAAAAACAAAAACGCAGGGACATGGGCTGGAAAGGTGGCTCAGTGGTAGATTGCTTGCCTCGCATGCATGAAACCCTGGGTTCAATTCCTCAGCAACACATAAGTAGAAAAAGCCGGAAGTGGCGCTGTGGCTCAAGTGGTAGAGCGCTAGCCTTGAGCAAAAAAAGCTCAAGGACGTCACCCAGACGCTGACTTCAAGCACTAGGACTGGCGAACACACACACACACACACACACACACACACGCACGCACGCACGCACGTGTGCGCGCGCACACACACTCCTAAGGAATTCTGACTGACTCAAATACCAAAACATCCAATACATTTGCTGCTCCAATCACTGCTAACAGCTTAACAATGTTGTTTATTTTGTTATATGATAAGAGCTGGATTCAGAAAATTATGACACCCAAAAGATTAGGGAATTGTCAAAGATTACAGAATTACTAGTAGAGCTGCTATTAAGATGTTGGCCTTCTGTATTCTTGCGTAGTACTTTTTTTTGTTTTTGTTTTTTGGGTCAGTCATGGGGCTTGAACTCTGGGCCTGGGCTCTGTCCCTGAGCACTTTAGACCAAGGCAAGAACTCTACCACTTGAGCCACAGTGCCACTGCCAGTTTTCTGATGGTTAATTGAAGATAAGAGTCTCACGAACATTCTTACTCAGGCTGGCTTTGAACTGTGATCCTCAGGTCTCAGCCTCCTGAGTAGCTAGGATTATAGGTGTGAGCCACCAGCACCCAGCTCCTAGTATATTTTTCTATGTATTGCTAACATCTCTTCTTGCCTTCCCATATTAGTAGTATAGCCTGAGTTCAAGTGTACTTTAGGAAGTAAAAAACCTTCCATCCCAAATAACCAGCCCAGACAGTAGTCAGAGAGATCTTATAGAAGTCTTAGAAGGGGGAGTGGAGGGTGGGGGGGAGGATGGGTGGGAAGGGGAAACAAAGGAGGAGGCTACAATGCTTGATAAGAAATATACTCATTATCTTGTCCATGTAATTGTAACCCCTCTGTATAGTATTTTCACAATAGAAAAAAATATATATATAAAAAGAAGTCTTGGGGCTGGGAAGGTAGCTCAGTGGTAGAGCGGTTGCCTTGCATGCTTGAGGCCTTGGATTCGATTCCTCAGCACCACATAAGCAAAAAGAAAAAAGCCAGAAGTGGCATTGTGGCTCAAGTGGTAGAGGGCTAGCCTTGAGCTGAAGAGCTGAGGGACAGTGCCCAGGCCCAGAGTTCAGGCCCCACAACTGGATCCCCCCCCCAAAAAAAAGTTTTAGAGGGGCTGGGAAGGTGGCTCAGTGGTAGAGCACTTGCCTTGCATGCCTAAGGCCCTGGTTCTATTCCTCAGCACCACATAAGCAAAAAAAGCTGGAAATGTCGTTGTGGCTCAAGTGGTAGAGTGCTAGCCTTGAGCTGAAGAGCTGAGGGACAGCGCCCAGGCCCAGAGTTCAGGCCCCACGACCGGATTCCTCCCCCCCCCCCCCTCCAAAAAAAAAAAGTCTTAGAGACTTGTGAGTTCATTTGTCAACCTCCTACAGGCAAGGATAATCACACAATTCTACTGCCAGGACATTTTATTTTGTCACAAGAGATTTGGATTCAGGGTTGTGTGCTTGCTGGGCAGGTGCTCTGTGTCTAAGTCCACGCCTCTAGCAATCTTCAGGCATTTCTGATTTACTCCCTCTAAAATTCTTCTGTAAACTTGTTGTGCCAGTAATAGGGCTTGAACTCAAGATTGAGTGTTTTCACTTACCTCTTTTTGCCCAAGGTTAGTGCTTTATCTCTTGCGCCACAGCTCCATTTCTGGCTTTTTGCTGGTTAATTGGAGATAATAGTCTCACAGTTCTGCCCCAGCTATCTTCAAACCACAACCTTCCAGATCTCAGCCTCTTGAGTAGTTAAAATTATGTGTGTGCCACCAACACCATAACCTTTTATATACTTAGAAAGAGAGAAAATATATGTTTGGAGAGAAGAGGGTCTGGTCAGATTTTATTTTCCTAGTAAAATCTCACAAATCTCTGGGCTGAGCTATTAGTCTTAGCCACATAAGCTCTCAGATCTGGTACTTTCTATTCACCATCATTACTTTCCCTGAAGAATTAAGGTTAAAATATTAGGAGACACTTAAGAAAAAATCAGAATTTCAGATGAAGAATGAAGCAAAACCAGAACTAAACTAGATTATGTTCTTAGAATTAGTACAAAAGTCTGTTTTTCATTCAAAATCACTGAACATAATTCAAACTATGAGGAACTAGGTTCAGATTATGACCTGAAGATCACAATTGCTAGTAGCTAGGATTCAGTTGTGAGTAGCTAGGATTACACGCATGAGCCACTGGTGCCTGGCATTCCAGCCTATTTTTAAAGAACAAATTTACTAAGACTATATATATATATATATATATATATATATATATATATATATATATATATGTATATATATATAAAGGAATTTAATCTACAAAAAGTAATGATGTATATTTATGGAGTTTATATTCATTGCCACCATTTGTAGGAAGGACAGGTATGTTTTAATTTGTATATAGTTCTTGTATTGAAATTAGAAATGTGTAAATAAGCCAGATATGGTAGTACATGTGGTCCCAGCTACTCGAGTGACAGAATTACAGGAGAATTACAGTACAAGGCCAGCAAGGGCAGGGTTAGTGAAACCTTATCTGGAAAACAAACTAAACTAACAACGACTGGCTCAAGTGGTAGAGCATTTTGCCTGGAAAGCTTGAAGCCCTGAGTTCAATTCCTAGTACCAAAACAAAATATACCTTCATGAAACAGAATATTTGTGTGTGTGTCTTTTATTATTATTATTATTATTCTAAATAAAACATTTCCTGAGCATGATTCTTCACCTCATGGGATTTAAAATTTTAATCTTTCTCTTTTTTTAGTTCCATTTGTCCAATTCTGAAAAGGAACGTTATGAAAAGGAATTCAGCCAAGAAAGACAACAAGAAATTTTGAGAAGAGTAGCAAGAGATTTACCTATCTATACCACGTCAGCTTCAAAAGGTACAAAGTGTCTTTCCTTCTGCTGGCACTGATGGTAGGAAGCTGATATCTGAAGGATCATGATTTTTAGTCAGCCTGGGCAAAGAAGTCTGTGAGACCCCCATCTCCAAAATAACCAGTAAAAGGCAAGGCTAAAGGCATGGTTCAAGAGGTAGTAGTGTTGGGGCTGGGAAGGCAGCTCAGTGGTAGAGTGCTTGCCTTGCTTGCCTGAGGCCCTGGGTTCGATTCCTCAGCACCACATAAGCAAAAAGAAAAAAGCCGGAAGTGGCGCTGTGGCTCAAGTGGTAGAGTGCTAGCCTGGAGCTGAAGAGCTGAGGGACAGCACCCAGGCCCAGAGTTCAGGCCCCACAACCGGACCCCCCCCCCCCCAAAAAAAAAAAAAAAAAAAGAGTACTAACAGAACAAGCCAACCCAGTAGTTTTGAGGCTCAAGACTTCAAACCCTGATAATACCCCTCCCCCCCAATGGTGTTTATTTCTCCAGGATACATTTATATGGATTGACAATTAAGTGGATATACATGATTGGTCACAATTGATGTCTACTGGAAAAAGATGAACTAGTTTCTTTTTCTTCATGGTGTTTTAGATATAGATAGATATGTAATTATCTCATCAGATTTTCTTAAGGAGCTTGCTTTTTAAAAAAATTTTAGCCAGTATTTATTTTAGTAAAACAAGATTATGAAGTAAGGAGAAATGGCAGAGAGAAATATTTCTTGTTCCTCTCGTAGGAAATAGGAGTTAAAGACTGTAAGGGGCTCATTTTAATATGAATCTCTATTTTCTACCTATTATTCTCCCCCAACTCACCTTTTATATTTAAAAATTTCAAGTATTATTCCTAGTAAGCCATCATTTGGAAATTCTGGTTTGAATTGGCTTATTATGTGTCAATACTGAGTAATAAATCCAGAACTTGCTATGAATGAGGAGTAGTCAAACATAAAAAGGTTCCAGGTGTGGTGGTATAGGTCTATAATCCCAGTTCTTCCGGAGGCTGTAGGGAGGAGAATCACAGTCTGAGGCCAGCTGGGGCAAAAACAGGATACCTTACCCAAAAAGCAAACTGCAAGTAAAAGGCTAAGAGTGTGGCTCAAGCAGGCCCCGAGTTCAACCCTCTGTATCAAAATGTAAAGAAAGCAGGAAAGAAAGGGAAAGGGAGAAGGTTAGGAGAAACTTAACCCAAACAGCTGATATTCAGAGACCAAGCCATGAAGTCATGTTTATTAGCTCTGAACTCATGCTCTTTCCTCTGTACCACTTTTTTGTCGGTTGTGGGACTTGAACTCTGGGCCTGCATGTTCTCTCAGCTCTTCAGCTCAAGGCTTAGCGCTCTACCACTTGAGCCATAGTGCCACTCCCGGTTTTCTGGTGGTTTATTGGAGATAAGAGTGTCACAGACTTTGCTGCCTGGCTGGCTTTGAAATGCGATTCTCAGATCTCAGCCTCCTGAGTAGCTAGGATTACAGGTGTGAGCCACCAGCGCCCGGCTTCTGTACCACTTGTTTCACTAGGTTCATGACTGAAACAGCACTTTCCTTTCTCAGAGTTAGCCTTTTGATGAGGGGAATCTGTGAGTGACTAAGTTGTTCATTTAAGTATAGGAATTTGTTTTAAATTATATATTACATACTTCATTAATTGATTCAAACAATAGACAATAATGTCAGTTTAAGAGTTATTCTGTGTTGTGTTTTACATATGAACTCTTTTTTTTTTTTTTTTCAGTCGTGGGGCTTGAACTTTGGGCCTAGACACTATCCCTCAGCTCTTCAGCTCAATGGCTAGCACTCTACCACTTGAGCCACAGCGCCACTTTGGCCTTTTCTGCTTATGTGGGTGCTCAGGAATCGAACCCAGGGCCTCATGCATGAGAGGAAAGCATTCTACCACTGTGCCACCTTTCCAGCTTCTACATATGAACTCATTTAAAACAGAATGTGACTTAGAGGTAGAATGCTTGCCTATCATGTATGAAACCCTGGGTTGGATTCCTCAGTACCACATAAATAGAAAAAGCCAGAAGTGGTACTATGGCTCAAGTGGTAGAGTTGCTGGCCTTGGGTAAAAGAAGCTTAGGGACAGTGCCCAGGCTCTGAGTTCAAGCTTCAGGACTGGCAACAAAAAACAGACAAAAAACAAACCCCCTATGAAGTAGGTACCACAGTGCCTATTTTGCATATGAAGAAACTAAGGCACTATTCTGGGACATGAAGGTCTCATTGTATGAGAAGATCAAGTGGATCCCCGATGGGTTTACATGTTTGGACCAAAATGACATCATTTAATCCAGAAAGTACCTGATTATTCTCTGTCAAGAATCAGGCACCAGGCATTATGTAAAGCTGAACATACTGCTTCAATGACTTTGTCGACTCCTAGAGTGTGGGCAGCTATGCAGAGAAAACCAGCTAGGATTACTCTGGTACAGTCATGGCGGCCATAACTCCCCATAACTCCCAGTGGCTGCAGTCATGTCAGGGTGAATCTATTTAGACACAGAGAAAGTTGAGTTACTTGTTCAATGTCATATGGGCCATATGTGAGAAAGAGATTTCAATCCATAACCCACTGGGCTTTTCAGCTCCAGAGGGAAATAGGGTGATGGGCAACTTGTAAATCAAGACAGTTTATGGGCTCAAGGCTTATCTCAAGTGATGGAAAAGCCCTGAATCAAGACATTAGCATGCACAATGAGAAAAAAAGAAAAGTTTTAGTGTCTGCAAATTTTAGGAGATAATCTGATTGACTTTAAAATGCACTTAATACTAAGATTTTGCAGTGCAGTTTTTCTGTTATGGGTACAGTACAAATTACTTGAACTTTCTAAGGCTTTCATTCTTCATTTCAAAATGAGAATAAGTGGAGCATTAGTGGCTCACGCCTGTAATCCTAGCTACTCAGGAGGCTGAGCTCTGAGAATTGTGGTTCAAAGCCAGCCCTCTCGGGCTGAGCACTGGTGGGTCACACCTGTAATTCTCGCTACTCAGGAGGCTGAGATCTGAGGATCGAGGTTCAGTGCCAGCTGGAACAGGCACCTCAGTGAGATTTTTATCTCCACCCGAAAACCAGAAGTGGTGTTGTGGTTCAAGTGGTAGAGTGCTAGCCTTGAGCTGAAAAGCTTAGGGACAGCATCCAGGCCCAGAGTTCAAGCCCCGTGACCGACAAAAACAAACAAACAAAAAAACAGGAAGTGCAGCTGTGATTCAAGTGTAAAGCATTAGTCTTCAATGAAAAATTCAGTGACAGTACCCAGTACTATCATATACATAATTAATATGTACATATACATACCTAAATTAAGAATGTCATTATATATGGTTTGGTAGACATATTAAATTTTTTTTTGGTCAGTCGTGGGGCTTGAACTCTGGGCTTGGGCACTATCCCTCAGCTCTTCCGCTCAAGGCAAGTGCTCTAGTGCTTGAGCCACAGCACCACTTCCAGTTTTCTAGTGGTTAATTGGAGATAAGAGTTTCATGGACTTTCCTGCCCAGGCTGGCTTTGAACTCTGATCCTCAGATCTCAACCTCCTGATTAGCTAGGATTACAGACGTGAGCCACCTGTGCCCTGCAACATATTAAATTAGATGGTATAAATGTGAACATCTTGGCATGTATAAACTTTTCAACAAATTTTATTTCCTGTACTTTAAGTATATGATAGCTAAGTTAAAACAATCTATTTTTTTAGGATGTTTTATTAGTGTACCTTAATTGTACGGAGGCAGGCTCATTGTGACATTCCCATACATACATACAATGTATCCATCCACCTACTTTCTCTATGGCTCTCCTTTATCTCCCATGCACCCTTCTTAAAACCGTTTCAACTGCTTTCATTGTTCTGTTTTCATACGTGTGTATAAAGTTTTCCCACTGTATTCATTCACCCCTCCCACCTCCTGCTGGACCTGTCCCCCGAACAGAGCACGTTTTACTCTTGTCATTCATTATTTTTACTGCATATTAATAATATGTTCACATTTCTCAGGTTCTCTTCTATCATGACTTTCTGTTTTGTGAACTTCCCCAATGCATTTTGGTTGTTTGTTTTGTTAAATTAAAGCGAGGTGCTGGTGGCTCATGTCTGTAATCCTAACGACTCAGGAGGCTGAGTTCTGAGTATTTCAGTTCAAAGCCAGCCAGTTAAACACCAGAAAACCAGAAGTAGCACTTTGGCTCAAAGTGGCAGAGTGCTAGTCTTGAGCAAAAAGAGCTCAGGGTCAGTGCCCAGACCCTGAGTTCAAGCTCCATGACTGACAAAAAGAAAAACAGAACAAGAAAATTGTTGGCATTGTTTTTGGAAGTAGGTAATGTGTAATGTAAGGGAGTGTGTGTGATGGAGGAGGGGGTGAGACCGATTGGAACACATATACAATGTGTGTAAATGTCACAGTGACGCCCCCCTCCCCCCCAGGTATAACAAATGTGTGCTAATAAAACTTTTTAACTGTCCGTTTACCACAGTTGTTTATTTTAAAAATTAAGCCTTACCATCAAAATACTTCAATTTGTACATCCTTCAGCATCTTCTTTTACCTCTTTCGTGTAGCTATCCGATACTGTGAAAAATGTCAGTTGATTAAACCTGATCGGGCGCATCACTGCTCTGCGTGTGACACGTAAGTGTTACTCCTTTGCTCTCATTTAAGCCCAACACTGGAAATCAGTGATGGGGAAAAGAGAGGAGAAATTGACATTTTATACTCTATATAAGCTTAAAGGAAAAAGCAAACTGAAGAAAAATATTTAGCAAAAGTATTTTGTCCTCTTCTATTTGCTGTGGATAACTAGCTAGCAAAAAGCGTTTATGCAAGCCAAAATATACGCAAAAATAATCTTGATAAGTTTTCTAATGGTGGACAGAATTTTCCTTAAGTATGCTTTCTGTTTTTATACTTAATATGATATTGACAAGGTAATAATTATAACCCTCTTCCGAAAGGTAACTTTTTTATTAAAAAGACTTTAATGATGGTTTGCTTGTTTTACTTTTTTTTTTGGTTGTGGGGCTTGAACTCTGGGCTTGGGCGCTGTCCCTGTGCTCTTCAGCTAAAGGTGAGTGCTCTACCACTTGAGCCACAGCACCAATTCCAGTTTTCTAGTGATTTATTGGAGATAAGAGTCTCATGGACTTTCCTGCCCCGGCTGGCTTTGAACCGTGATCCTCAGATCTCAGCCTCTTGAATAGCTAGGATTACAGGCGTGAGCCACTGTTGTTTTTATGTATGTATCTACTTGTTTATTTAACTATTGTGTCCTACCAGTGAGGCTTGAATACAGCCTAAGTGCCGTCCCTTTGTTTTTTGCTCAAGGCTGGCATTCACGCACTTGAACCGCAGCTCCACTTCTGGTTCTTTTTTCTTTGCAGCTAGTTGAAAATAAGAATAGCACAGACTTTCTTACCTAGATTGATTTGAACTTCAGTCCTCAGATCTCAGCCTTCTGAGCAGTTAGAATTACAGATGTGAGCCACCAGCTCCTGACTCAATTCTTATTACTGGTACTGATTTTAAAATCTAAAAAATAATAAAGTAACTTTAGAGGTTTTCCTTCAGTTTTTTTTTAACTAGAAAAATGTAAAATAATTTACCTCTGTGGCATATATGGGAAAGAAAAAACCGCTTGGAACCTCAATTAATCATTGCTCTTGAAGTAAACAAGGGCTTTAAGGTTCACATTTGTTATATATTACTTGAGTTGACTTACAGGTAACTTTATGCAATTGTAAAGTTACTATTAAGGAGGCAAATATGGGTGTTTGGTTTTTGTTTTTGTTTTTTGTCATGGGGCTTGAAGTCTGGGTCTGGGCGCTGTCTCTGAGTTCTTCAGCTCGAGGCGAGCACTCTACCACTTGAGCCACAGCACCACTCCTAGTTTTCTGATGGTTAATTATAGATAAGAGTCTCATGGATTTTTCTGCTCAGGCAGCTTTGAACCGTGATCCTCAGATGTCAGCCTCCTGAGTAGTTAGGATTACAGGCATGAGCTACCAGCACCCAGCTGGTGTAGTATTGCTTATAAGTAGTGTAAATTTGTATTGGTAAATATGGAAAGAACCATTTTTAGTCCCATCAGTGTTGATGTTTTAGAATATTCACTTCTAGGGGCTGGGAAGGTGGCTCAGTGGTAGAGTGCTTGCCTTGCATGCATGAGGTCCTGGGTTCGATTCCTCAGCACCACATAAGCAAAAAGAAAAAAGCCGGAAGTGGTGCTGTGGCTCAAGTGGTAGAGCGCTAGCCTTGAGCTGAAGAGCTGAGGGACAGTGCCCAGGCCCAGAGTTCAGGCCCCATGACCGGACCCCTCCCCCCAAAAAAGCATATTCACTTCTAATATTTTTATGATGTTAATATTTAAAACAGAGGAATCTTTTCATTGCATTCTACCTTCAATTAATTTTTAAGGTAGACCTTTCTGATGTGGCAAGTATTGTCCTCAAAGCTGACTATTAAAATGTCATTTCATATATATAGTACACTGAAGTAGATCTGCCCAGCTGGTTTAAAAGTCTAAATAATTATGACCTTGTACCTACAAAAGTATCAGAAATTATATCTAACCTAATGCTTCTGAGTTTGTTCTCTTATGGTATCATTTAAAGGGAAATTTCTAAGTGAGAAAAAAAATTACAAGAAATTAGAATTGACTTCTGCCTAAATTTTCTTATACTTATTTTTTTTTTAGATGTATTCTTAAAATGGATCATCACTGCCCGTGGTATGTATTACAAAGAAAAAATGCCCTAAGGGGTGGAGAGTTGGAAAGAAGAGAATTTATAGTTATTTACTTCAGTATTATTAATTTTTTTTCTATATCTGAGCATGAAACCTAGAACCTCACACAGGCTAAAAAAGCCTTTCTACTGGGATGGACTCCTAACCCCCTGCCATAGTTATGTTTGGAAGGTCAATTTAATAGATAAAGTTGATATAATTACATGTAGCATATGGATCTAAAGCCGTGTGTGTGTGTGTGTGTGTGTGTGTGTGTGTGTGTGTGTGTGTGTGTGTGTGTGTGTGTGTGTGTGTGTGTGTGTGTGTGTGTGTGTGTGTGTGTGTGTGTGTGTGTGTGTGTGTGTGTGTGTGTGTGTGTACAGGGGTTTGAACTCAGGGCCTGAATGCTGTCCTTGAACTTTTGTGTTTAAGGCTAATGCTCTGCCCCTTAAGCCACACTTCCTCCTCTGGCTTTTTGGTGGTTAAATGGAGATAAGAGTCTCATGGACTTCCCTGCGTGGGCTGGCTTCAGACTTTGATCCTGAGCCCCCTGAGTAGCAAGCAGTCTATAGGTGTAAGCCACCCACTGAGCTGTATATTTATGAGACTGACTCTTTTTTCCCAAATGGTCCATTACTAAATAATAATGTTTTCTGATTTCTTACTTTTTTATTATGGTTAAAAAAACATGAAATATATGACCTTAACTATTTCTGTAAGTATAGGGTTCAATAGTTAAGTATATTTATATACTTATACATTCCCCAGAACCTGAATATCTTGTAAAACTTTAACTGTGTTTCATTGAGCAATTCTCCATTAACCTTCCTACCAGCCCTTGGCAACCCCCATTCTCCTTTCTATTTCTGTGAATTTGTGATCTGTCTTATTTTTATAGTGTGACTTTCTTTGTTCTTCTAGGGTGAATAACTGTGTGGGATTTTCTAATTACAAATTTTTCCTGCTGTTTTTGTTGTATTCCCTATTATATTGCCTTTTCGTGGCAACAACAGTTTTAGAATACTTTATAAAATTTTGGACGGTAAGTCTTTATTTCCTGTCTTAAAAAAATGTGTTAAAGACATTTTTAAGATATTATATTCCTAAAGAATTGCTTTAAGTGAATACCTTTATTTTCATTTTACTAGACTCTGAGATATTTACAGAACAGTCAGAGATAAAGGTTACATTTCCAGACATGTCTGTGTATAAATCAGAGTGTGTATTATACAAGTAGAGACAGCTTCATTTGGTGATCCAAATTGTTTGCCACACTAACAAAGATATACCAGTTTTTGAGTAAGTAATTACTTTTTTTGGCTGAATGATGCTTACTACAATTTTATAATAAAAGTGTTATCCTCAGCTCCTTTGAGAGCTTTTTTTTTAGGGGGTGGCATAATAGTCTAGTGGTCTGCCAGTTGAGCCATGTCTGTAGCCCAGTTTTTTTTATGGTTATTTGTCGATTTTCTTCTCTGGTTGACCTTGAACTGTAATTTTCCAAATCTCAGTTTCTTGAGTAGCTAGGATTACAGGTTTGAGCTATTGGCAGCCATCAGATTTTTCATCTCTAGATTTTTTTTAACATTTGTTTTTTTTTTTTTTGTCGGTCATGGGGCTTGAACTCTGGGCCTGGGCACTGTCCCTCAGCTCTTCAGCTCAAGCCCAGCGCTCTACCACTTGAGCTACAGCGCCACTTCCGGTTTTCTGGTGGTTCATTGGAGATAGGAGTCTCACGGTCTTTCCTGCCCGGGCTGGCTTTGAACCGCGATCCTCAGATCTCAGCCTCCTTAGTAGCTAGGATTACAGGCGTGAGCCACCAGCGCCCGGCTTTTTTTTAACATTTGTAAAAATGACAAATAACTAAAAGTTTGTTTGTTTTTGACAGACGAACTAGTTAATCTGTGGTTTGTGCCATACATTACCAAGGAATGCAGTATAGTTAAAAAGAAAAAAAACCTAAAGCAACTGTTTAAAAAATATGTTGTGACCTTTGAGATACGTTGTATTATTATTTTTTGTTGGGGTTGGGGCATTGTACTAGGATTTGAACTCAGAGTCTTATACTTTTTAGGCGAGGCAGGCACTCTGCCAGAAAGCTATGCCTCTAGCCCTTTTTTTACATTATTTTGAAGTAGGATCTTGTGCCCTGCCTCGGTGTACATGACCACACACAGTTTCTTCCATTTTGAAAGAGACTTGCAGATTTTCTGCCCAGTCTGGCCTTGAACCAGGATCCTTCTGATTTCAGCCTTCCAAGTAACTAGGAGTAATGAATTATTATGTGAAAGAAATTAGGTCCAAAAGAGTACATGTAGGTTAGGTGCAATGGCTCAGGTTTGTAATCTTGGTTACTCAGAGACTGAGAAGACTGTGGTTCCAGGCTGGCACTGGCAAAAAAGATAGCCAGACCTATCAACAAGATCATGGCTGTGGTGGTATACATCTGTCATTCTAGGTAGGAAACAGGATTAGAGTCCAGGTTCATTCCTGGGTGAGAAATGAGACCCTATCATAAAACTATGAATACAAAAAGAGGACTAGAAACATGATTTAGTGATAGGGTGCCTAACAAACACAGAGTCCTGAATTCATTCCGCAGTACTGCTCCCCACCTACCCCCCAGAATGAATACATACATTGTGCTACTATGTTTCTATAAGAAAATAACATAAAAGTGTATAATGTCTTCACTGGAAAAATTTATTTAAAAATTGTAATTTATTTAAAAATTGTAATTGTAAAAAAATTGTAATGTGTTTAAAAATTGTAATTACCTCTGGGAAGATCTAATAGAGAGACATGCTTTTAAAAATTACCTTTTGAACCGGGTTTTGGTGGCTCATATTTGTAATCCTAGCTATTCAGGGTGCTAAGATTTAAGATTACAGTTCAAAGCCAGCCCAGGCAGGAAAAGTCCATCAGACTCTTATCTCCAATTTATCACCTAAAAGCCAGAAGTGGAGCTGTAACTCAAGTGGTAGAATGCTATCTGTGAGTGAAAAGGCTTAGGGACCATGCTTAGGCCTTGAGTTCGAGTGTCAGTACCAGGACTAGCACAAACATATACACACTCACCCACACACAAAGGGTCTCTGATGGCCAAGCTAAGTATATGGGAGAAGGGTCAGAGTTAGTGTGGCTGAAAATTTCTAGCAGTAACATGGTCATAGCTACAGAAACAGGTGGTATGAAGTCAATTAAAAATCTGCTTGGGGGACTGCTAACTAGATAGCCAGAGAAATATTTATTTGCTAGCACATATTCTTTTTAGAAATAAATCTGTGTTTTCTTTTTGTTTGTTTTGGTAGTTTTATTTTTGCTTTATTTTGTTTTTGTGCCTGTCCTCGGGCTTGAATCCAGGGCCTGAGTGCTATCCCTGAGCTTTTTCTTGTTTGTTTCTTCGTGGTCCTGGATCTTGAACTTAGGGCCTGGGCTCTGTCCCTGAGCCTCTCTGTGCTCAAGGCTAGTGCTCTACCACGAGCCACAGTGCTTTTTCTGTGTAGTTTATTGAAGATAAAAGTCTTGGGCTGGGAAGGTGGCTCAGTGGTAGAGCGCTTGCCTTGCATGCATGAGGCCCTGGGTTCAATTCCTCAGCACTACATAAGCAAAAAGAAAAAAAGTCAGAAGTGGCGCGGTGGCTCAAGTGGTAGAGCGCTAGCCTTAAGCTGAAGAGCTGAGGGACAGTGCCCAGGCCCAGAGTTCAGGCCCCATGACCAGACCCCCCCACCCCCCCCCCCAAAAAAAAGTCTCACGTACTTTCTAGGCTAGCTTTGAACCGTGATCCTCAGATCTCAGCCTCCTGTGTAGCTAGGATTACAAGCATGAGCCACTGGCACCCAGCTTCCCTGAGCCTTTTCATTCAAGGTTACTGCTCTTCCACTTAAGCCACAGCTCCACTTTGGGCTTTTTTTTTTTTTTGCAGGAGGGGTAGTAATTGGATATAAGAGTCTCATAGGCTTTGCTGCCTGGACTAGCTTCAAACCATGATCTTTAGATCTCAGCCTTCTGAACAGTTAAAACTGGAAGTGTGAACCATCAGCTCCCAGTGTTTTGGGTTTTTTGTTTTTTGTTCTGTTCCTGGGGCTTGGACCCAGGACCTGGGCACTGTCCTTGAACTATTGTGCTCAAGACTATTGCTCTACCACTTGAGCTACAGCCCCACTTTTGGCTTCTTTTAGTGATTAATTGGAGATGATCTTCTCTCAGGTTTGTCTGCCTGAGCTGCCTTTGAACTATGATCCTCAGATCTCAGCCTCCTGAAAGCAAATCTGTTTTTAAAAAACAAATCTCTGCTTTTAAAACTGTGAGGATATCTGAAATCCACAGGAAGAGCTAAGTGGTCTGCTTTCTTATGGATTTTGTAAAAATGTTTTAGATGACCCTTAGAAAGTAATGTCTTAGTATTCCTCCACACATACAGGATTTATAAAACCACGTATTCAGGATAACTGTATAAAAATTGGTTTCTTACTATATTGTCTCTATTTACACAAGCTCTGCCGCAGGAAATCCACAGAGAATTGTCCAAAGGTAAAACATCATTGCCATGACATTCTCATAACCATTTCTATGACATTTTTAGTGAACGTGTGTAATAAAAACTTGCTTCACAACATGGTGAGGGAGCAGAATCACTTAATGTGTTTTAGTTATATAGTGGTTGCTCTGGGAGAAAAAAAATCTATGTTAGAATACCCTAATGCCTAACTGAGTAGTAGCTCAGGAGCCTGGAGAGTACAGAAAATAAAAAGAAAGCCCAACCACAAGGAAGAACACTGCTTCTTCTAACCTTCCTTTTAGTAAGTCATGCCGGGTAGCCTCTTGTTCTGAGAGAATAGGTGACTCATTTTAACAGCTAACACTGAAAGGCTTCCTCCTCCTCTTCCTATTAATAGATACTAATTTCTTCTAGGTTAAAACTTTGCTTCTGTTAAAATGCATGTAGCCATAAGAAGGAATGGCAGAGGAGCTGTTTTCATTCATTAACACCTGTGGTAGATTTATTTATCAAAATTGGCAATTACCTAAAAGGCTGTGTCTATAGAAAATGCAAAAAGGATGAACAAGGTAGGCTTAGCAGTTCAAGGCACGAATAGCTTTAAGGTGCTATGGCCATAGAGATGAGTGTACCAGGAGAGTAACATGTAAATATGTCACAACTCTGCTGCTCACAGCATGCAATGTGTCATGAAGCAAATGGGTTAGCATAGATGACAGCCAGAGCCCTGTGCATTCTGCATGTTGGAGAAAGCTTGACTATATACAGAAGTGTAGATGAATCCATTTTTTCATCATATGACAGAAACAAAATTTAAATTTTTAAGAGCCCTTTTTAAAAAAAAAAACTATTTCTGATTTCCTGTATAAACACTTCAATATACCAGTTCCTTGTTTTTGCAAATTGTTTCTTTGGGGATACATTTTTCTAATTTAGTGTATTTTTCTCATCTGTAGATTTTTGGTGAATTCATCTTTGGGCAGAACTAAGGAGTAAATAATACTGTAGAGGTTCAATATTCTCCAGGTTAACTCTTCTTTTTTCTCCCCTCAGAATGAGCTGGCAGATCCACATGTGAAATTCCATGTACTTTTCCTGTTCTTTGTGTCTGCAATGTTCTTCATCAGCATCCTCTCACTCTTCAGCTACCACTGCTGGCTAGTTGGAAAAAATAGGACAACAATAGGTAAGGAAGCTAGAAAAGCCAGGCACCTGTGGCTGACACCTATAATCCTAGCTACTCAGGAGGCTGAGATCTAAGGACCATGGGTTCAAAGCCAGTCTGGATAGGAAAATCCATGAAACTCTTATCTTCAGTTCACCACCAAAAAGCTAGAATTGAATTGGTAGACTGCTATCTGAGCAAAAACACTTTAGGGACAGTGCATCAGCCCTGAGTTCAAGCCTCTACCAGTGCACATGCACGTGTGCACGCGCGCAAACACACAAACAAATTACATTAAAAATAAATAGGCTTCACTACTATCCAATAACAGCACACTTAATTAGAAAATTAATCTCAACTATTTGAAATGAACTCAGGTATTTTGTAGTCTAGTTTGAAATCCACACTTAAGTTTATTCCATGGCCTTTTAATGGGTTTGCACACTTTGACAAACAGTTCACCACTTTGGTTACAGCCTCACCTCTTACACCATGGTCTGTGGCTGTTTCTCCACTGCTACAACCAGGGTTTTCTTCTATCACTTCTGCCCTTCTTTATAACTGTCACCTACCTACCATGAGGTCATTTTCTCATAATTTAATAAGTTTCCGTAGTCAAACAAGTGCCATTATTTCAAATGATAATTTCATTATTTCAAAAGAGCAAATCAGCCCCTTTGATTCTGGTGGCCACTCATTCCCATAACATATTGATCGACTTAGAACTCAGAGCCTCCGAAAATGATTTTTCTTTTGCTGGTGGGGCTTGTTTGCTCTCATGGCCTGGGTGCTGTTCCTGAGTTGTTGTTGTTGTTGTTGTTGTTTTTGCTCAAGGATAGCAACCTCCTAGGTTTTTTCCTTCTCTTCTGCTTTCATTTCTCATCCTGTCCATTCTAGAGCTTTTGATAGTTTTTGAATATCACCCGTAAATATTCTACCGCTAAATTTTCTCCCAGAATTCCTTACTTCCATTGAGATTGTTAAAACTACAGATTGAAGGTTCACTGTTCTGCTGTGAGTCATGGGGTACTGGTCCTCCTCCTCACCTGTTTCCTACAGCATAAAAGTAGATTTGCATCTTTTTCTCCATTCCTTACCTTCTGAGTCCTTCAGAGAAAAACTAAAAGAAGTCACAAGTAGGCTCTCATCTTTTTCTCTTTACATTGTTCTTTTTCTCCTGTTCCTGTTACCTTCACTCTTAACTTCTGATGAACAGTGTCCTTTAGGATTCATCTTAGAATTCTTCTATGTACCGTCCCGTCTCTTCTGAGATCTTTTCCTACAGTTTTCACTTTGCTTTCCTATGTTGTCAATCTCTTCTGAGGTCCTGGCTTCATCTTAACGTTAGCTTATAAGACATGCTGAGTGCATTCTGGTTCTAAAGGAACACATTTCCTGTATCTCTTTCTAGAACTCACTGTGTATCATTTGACAACTGATAGCAAGATACTGGTCTATATAATCTCTTTTTTGTTGTTCTTGGTCATGGGATTTTAAACTCGGGGCCTGGGAACTGTCCCTGATCTTTTTTTTTTTTTTTCTCTCTGTCTCTCAAAGCTAGGGTTCTACCACTTTGAACCACAGCACCACTTTCAGTTTTCTGGTGTCTAACTGGAGATGAGTCTCACAGCCTTATCCTGCTTGGGTTGGCTTCAAATCACGATCTTAGATCTCAGCCTCATGAGTAGGTAGGATTACAGGGGTTAGTCACCAGCACCAGTCACTAATCAAAATGTGTCACTTCCTCCACTACCAACACCAACAGCCCTAAGGCATACATAGGTGTCTTGAACCTGTTCGGGCAAACATAGGTCCTCAGATCTCTGTGCTCTCAGGGAACCACTTAGCCCATGTAATTTTACTAGAAAGTAGGTTCTTGGGTAGGAATGTCATAAAAATTTTTGTTTGGATCCCAAATACCTACTACTACCAGACACATAGGAAGTTCATAGTGAGTGAAGCTGAAAGAGTTAGAATATCTTTTTCTTTTTGTGTGCAGGGGGAGACACTACGAGGGTTTGAACTCAGAGACCTGTGTTTGCCAGCCAGCTGTGCTGGCTTTTTTTTTTTTTTTTTGCACTGGTTATTTAATAGGATCTTGCTTCCCATCTAAGTGAACCTAAGACCATAACACCTATTTTAGGCTTCCCATCCTATCTGGGATGACAGGAGCATACCACCACACTCACCTTCTGCCCATTGAGATGGAGTCTTATGGAATTTTCTACCTGAGCTGGCCTGGAATTACAATCCTCCCAATCTCAGCCTCCCAATATTTTAGGATGACAGGAGCGGCTGTTCCTAGCTTTCACTTAAGGAGTCTTTTGAACTTTTCTGCCTGGCCCATTTGCTGCTTCCCAAGTAGCTAGGATTATAGGCATGAGACACCAGCACCTGCCTAAAAAAGAATATCTTTAATAGAAAAACTGTGAGCCAGCTGGGCACCGGTGGCTCATACCTGTAATGCTAGCTACTCATGAGACTGAGATCTGAGGATCTTGGTTCAAAGCCAGCCTGGGAAGAAAGTCTGTGAGACTCTTATCTCCAATTAACCACTCAGAAAACCAGAAGTGGTGCTATGGCTCAAGTGGTAGAGCACTAGCCTTGAGCTGAAGAGCTGAGGGACAGTGCCCAGGCCCAGAGTTTAAGCCCTGGGACAGACTAAAAAAAAAAAAAAGTGAGCCAGTTACTCACATTTGTAATCCTAGCTACTCAGGAGTTTGAGATCTGAGGATCATGGTTGAAAGCCAGCCCAGGTGGTCTCCTTGAGACTCTTTTATCTCCAATAAACTACCAAACAAACAAAAAAAACAGCAGTGGAGCTGTGGCACAAATGGTAGAGCACTAGCCTTGAACAAAAAAAGCACAAGGGCAGAGATGGGAGAGAGGGAATGAGAGGGAAAGAGGAAGCAGCTTACTCTAAGCAAAAGGAAAGAGATGTGCATGTCACCTGATTTGGAAGAGATAGTTTATTGTCAAAGCTTATAGAATTCACAAACTTTATAGACCATGATAATGACAATTTGTCTTGTGAAGGTTAAAATGTGTTTGTGACTTTAAGTATCACTATCTCACAATACTGTGAAATTTATACAATCACTTAATCTCAATAAAAAATTATTTAAAATTTTTTTAAAAAAGCACAGAGACAGTACCTAGGCCCTGACTTCAAGCCCAGGACTGGCAAACAAAAAGAGAGAGAGGGAGAGAGAGAACCAAGTAATAATCGTTAAACATACTTTATTTGATTTTCAGTAATATTAAATAGTTATTTTGGTATGTTATTTTAGATGGTTGATAAGGTAAAAAATATACTTTTTCCCAAATTAGTTTCAGAAATCTGTTTTTTAAATAACATTTTTAGGGGCTGAGAATGTGGCTTAGTGGTAGAATGCTTGCCTAGCATGCATGAAGCCCTGGGTTTGATTCCCCAGTACCATATAAACAGAAAAAGCTGGAAGTGGCACTGTGGCTCAAGTGGTAGATCGCAAAACTTGAGCACAGAGATAGATGCTGAAGGACAGTGCCCAGGCCATGAGTTCAAGCTCCAGGACTGGCAAAAAAAAAAAAAATTGATACATAGTAATTGTGTGTATTTATTGGACACAGTGTGACATTTCAATATACTTACATACCCATGTGTCAGCTCTGAGTAATTGTTATATCTGCTACCACAGATGTCTTACCTTTTCTAGTTATTTTTGATTGTTGTAAAACTACTAGTCATTTTAAATTATATTCTAGCTTTTCATGTGAGAAATATAAGCGAGCAGCAAATTAATATTTTCCATCCTTTATTTTTGTTTTGGTTTTTGTTGGGTTTTTTTGGTTTGGGGCTTGAACTCTTGGTCTGGGTACAGTCCCTCAGCTCTTCAGCTCAAGGCTAGCGCTCTACCACTTGAGCCACAGCACGACTTCTGGTTTTCTGAGTGGTTAATTGGAGATAAGAGTCTCTTGGACTTTCTGCACTGGCTGGCTTTGAGCCTCGATTCTCAGATCTCAGCCTCATGAGTATCTAGGATTACAGGCGTGAGCTACCAGTGCCTGGCTTCCATCCTTTATTTTTAAATAGATTGTTTATGTATACCTACGTATATATATGCACGTGTGTGACTATATACGTATATGTATATATGTATATTCTTTTTTGTTGTTTTGAAACAGAATCATTCCGTTCACCTACATTTTCATATGGAACTGATGGAAATGGTTTCTCTCTTGGATATGGTAAAAATTGGAGACAAGTATTTGGTGATGAAAAGAAATATTGGCTACTTCCAGTATTTTCAAGGTAATTTTTAAAATGTAGGTCTAAGAAATGAATGGAATATGTGGTGGTTTCTATATTGGGCTAAATGTCTTAATATTCAGAGACAATGATAAATGTTTTGGGGTTTTTTTGCGGGGGTGGGGGAGGGGATGGAAGTACTGGTATTTGAACTTGGGGCCTCTCCCTTGCTAGGCCAGCACTCTACCATTTGAGCGATGCCCTGAACCCTTTTTACTTTATTTTTCAGATAAGAGCTCCCATTTTTTGCTTAGACTGGCCTGGACTGCACTCCTCTCTATGCCTCTGCATAGTTCTGATTACAGATGTACACCACAGTGCTTGCCCAGGCTGGCCTTGTGCCACCATTCTCCCAATCTCCACCTCCCAAGTAGCTGAGGTTACAGGTGAGAGCCACCACACCTGTAACAGTTCTGTGGGCCTTTCAAATGAAAATTCTGAGCATCATGAACGTATCTTTAGTGTTCCTTTTTAAAAATATTTTTTTAGATATGTTAAATGACAGTTTGGGCATATCATCATTGAGCAATCATCATAAAGATGATTCATAAAATATAATCCATTTAAAAATTTTTTTGTTTCGTTGGCAGTACCACGGCTTAAAATTGGGGCCTTGTGCATTCTTGGCTTGCTTGCTCAGCCGGCACTCTTAGCTCTTCAGCCATGCCTCCAGCCCAGCTTTTTTGCTGTTTTTTTTTTTTTTTTTTTGGGTCTGGTCGTGGGGCCTGAACTCTGGGCCTGGGCGCTGTCCCTCAGCTCTTCAGCTCAAGGTTAGCGCTCTACCACTTGAGCCACAGCACCACTTCCGGCTTTTTTCTTTTTGCTTATGTGGTGCTGAGGAATCGAACCCAGGGCCTCAGGCATGCAAGGCAAGCGCTCTACCACTGAGCCATCTTCTTGCTGGTTATTTTTTTGGACTTTGCTGTCCCAACTCGCCTCAAACCATGATCCTCCCTGATCTCAGCCTTCCTGAGTAGCTAGGATTACTGATATGAGCCACAGGTGGCCAGCTAAAAACTTTCTTTTGTTTCTGTCAATGAAAATTTGAAGTGAAAAAACATCACTAAAGTGTATGTCCTATTGATTGTAGCTTCAAAGAATCTATCAAGCTGGGTGCTGGTGGCTCACGCCTATAATCCTAGCTACTCAAGAGGCTGAGATCTGTGGATCATGGTTCAAAGCCAGCCCAGGCAGGAAAGTCCTGAGACTCTTATTTCCAATTAACCAGCAGAAAACCAGAAGTGGTGCTGTCACTCAAGGGGTAGGGTGCTCACCTTGAGCTGAAGAGCTCAGGGACAGTGCCCAGGCCCAGAGTTCAAGCCCCACAACCCACAAAAAAAAAAAAAAGAATTTATCATAGAAGAGTACACGGGGTTGGTAGAATGGTGCCTGCCTAGCAAGCACAAGGCCCCAAATTCAATCCCCAGTACTGCCTCTCCTCCACGAACATAAAAGAACTGTGTATCTTTTTTTTCTTACAGAGTAGTTAATACATAAAGGAATTTTAGCTCAGGTATAAAAGAATATGTTTCCTTTTATGCTTCAATTCCCAGCCATCTAAGGCTGTCTTATCTCAGTTATTTTAGAGAAAGAAAAAAATGTTTGAACGTGATGTGCCAGTCTTGGCAAAAAATTGTAGAGTTTTCCTTAATCTAATTGCCAACTTTTTGTCTAAAAAGGCCTCATTTGGCCCTCACTTTTGAAGGACTTTTTTGCTTGTTAAGATTCTAGACATTACTTCCCTATCTCTGGCTTATATTTTTTCCATGAGAAGTTTGTGGGCACACCTATTTTCATATGTAATGTGTCTTTTCTCAGCTGCTTTTAAAGCTTTCTGCTTATCATGACTTTCATGAAATTTGATTTTGTATTTGTGTGTGTAGTGTAGCAGCCCTACTGCCACAGCTCTACTTTTGGCAGGTAATTGGAGATAAGTCTCACAGACTTTTCCTGCTCCAGTTCACTTTAAACTCTTTTCTTTCTGGTAGTTTTGTTTTTCCTTAGCTGTGGATCACATTTTCTGCTACCTTCCATGTCAGTAACTTCTGACTGGATAATGGACATGTCTACTGCTACTTTGCTGAGTTGCCTAGATTTTATTGTCTACACTTAAAGAATTCATTCTTTGTTTGAACAGCTATGACTTACGCTCCAACGTGGTCTTTTTAGGTGGGTTTTAAGCTTTATTATATAGCATTTTTTTTTCCCTAGGGCTTAATTTAGTCATGTAGTTAAAAGTTCAGCTTTTCAAACTATCCTTTCAAATCTCTCCTTTCTGACTGTTGAAATTTAGGTGCCTCTCAGTGCAATGAGAACTCTAAATTTGTTCAACTTTCATTACCCAGCCATCCTTTTTTTCCTGATTCACCTGTATTATATGATCAAAATACAAGTACTGGGGCTGGGAATGTGGCTTAGTGGTAGAGTGCTTGCCATGATGCATGAAGCTCTGGGTTCAATTCCTCAGTACTATATAAACAGAAAAAGCCAGAAGTGGCACTGTGGCTCAAGTGGTAGAGTGCTAGCCTTGAGCAAAAGAAGCTCAGGGACGGTGCCTAGGCTCTGAGTTCAAGCCCCAGGACTGGCCAAAAAAAAAAAAAAACAATGACTGAATTGTATAGATTTCTTTTTTTTGGGGGGGGGGGGGAAGGGGAGGGGTCTGGTCGTGGGGCCTGAACTCTGGACCTGGGCGCTGTCCCTCAGCTCTTCAGTTCAAGGCTAGTGCTCTACCACCTGAGCCACAGCGCCACTTCCAGCTTTTTTCTTTTTGCTTATGTGGTGCTAAGGAAGTGAACCCAGGGCCTCATGCATGCAAGGCAAGCGCTCTACCACTGAGCCACCTTCCCAGCCCCTGCACTGTGTAGATTTCTATAATCATTTTCTCCTTCTCTTTCTTCCCTCCCACTTTCCTCTCTTCCCTCCCTCCCTTCCTTCTAAGACTTCTATAGCCTTTTCTCTGCCTGGCTTTCTCTTCCTACCTCCCTTCCCTCTCCCTTCTCCTCTCATCTCCCTTCTCCTCTCCTCTCCCTTCTCCTCTCCCTATCTCATGTTGAGTTTGTTCTACCATTGAACACTTTCCCAATACTTACTGACTAATCTTTCCTTTCTCCCTCCTTTCAGCCTTTTCTCCCTCCTCCCTTCCCTTTCTCCACTCCTCACCCCCCACCCCGTACTGGAGATTGAACTCAGGAGTTACACTTGTTAGACAGGTACTCTAGCACTTCAGCTACTTTACCAGACACTTTTTACATTGGTTATTTTTGAGATAGGGTCTTTGCTTTATGTCCAAGGCATCCTCGACGTCAATCTTCATTTTTGTGCTAGCCCACTGCGCTGGGATGACGGGAGCACACCAGAGTACCCAGCCATTGTGCTGCTTCTGTAGGTGGGATAAAAGGCATGCACCACTGTACCCCAACCATTGGTTGAGATATGGAGTCTCACAGTCTTCCCCTCACACCCCCCCTCCCCAGGCTGAACTCCAACCATGATCTCTTGATCTCCATCTCCCAAGTAGCTAGGATTACAGGCTTGAGCCTGCATATTTTCCTTTTCTCACTATATATAGTAGGTTCAAACCTCAAAGCTCCGTGTCTGAAACCTTACTTCATACAAACTGCTTGTCTTGGCTTGAATTGCCCTCTTGTAGCTGCGGTCCTGCCAAAAGGCTGGGAGCACTTGTTGTATTTCATTTTTTTCTCTCTGAGACCATTGTCCTCTGCTTCCTATTTTGAAGTCCATCATTTTTGTATACTGGGCTCTTTTTGACTATGATGACATGTCAAATTTATAGTTATTTAGTCTTGGTTAGAAGTGAAAGAAAGATACGCTTTGTCTTTTTTAAAGATTAGAAGTTTCTTTAGGACAGAGGTTCTCTTTTATTCATTGCTACATCCTTTGTTCTCAAAATATTTCTAAGAACATCATAGGCATTATGTAGCTGTTTGTGTCACAGTGTTGGAGAACCAAACCAACCTCGGGCCTTGTGTGTCCCAGGCAAGAACTGAACCATTAGATATTTTGTGTAGTTAATGTTGTAGAATGGATAAATAGGTAGAATTTGTATCTTATATTTCAATTTTAGCCTAAAAGATATCTTAAATGGTTGGGAAACAATAGATCAGTTATCAAGCCAGATGCTGGTGGCCTCACGCCTATAATCCTAGCTACTCAGGAAGCTTGAAATCCGATGATTGCAGTTGGAAGCCAGTCTAGACAGGAGAGTCCATGAAACTCTTATCTCTGACTAACCACTAAAAAGCTAGAAGTGGAACTGTGCCTCAAGTGGTAGAACAGTAACTTTGAGCAAAAAATATCCCAGGCACGAAAGAAAAGAAAGGAGAAAAGGTCAATTATCCAAATGATTGAATAGCTACATTTAAGGTACTAACTAGGCATCATGATCTTCATAAGCAAGAAAGACATTGTTTTAAATATATACATAAAGGACTAACATCTTCATTGGAGATATAAACAGTCTAAACTAGAAACCTAGGAATTATTCAGTTTGACCACTTTAATTAATTTATGTGATTCAAATAATTACTATTCTTCATTATGCAGTTTGGGTGATGGTTGCAGTTTTCCAACTCGCCTTGTAGGGATGGATCCAGAACAAGCTTCTGTTCCAAACCAAAGGTGTGTTTCTTGTCCTTAAGTTTTTCATTATTTATGGTAAAACAAACTGTATGTATGTGTTACACATACATGTCTTATGGATGTCTATACTTTCAGTAAGCTAGCCTATGTAGGGAAAGAGAAGTTCTGTTTAAGCTTTTTTGAATTGAGGGCTGATATGTGGTATGTGCTTAGGATAACCATATTTCTCTTTAGCACCCAAACACATTCCATCCATATTCAAAACATGGGATACTTGTGTCTCATCCCTGTACAGAGGCTGTGCTAATCTTCTCTGTGCCATTTGAATTTTAGTGTATGTGCTTCCCAAAGTGAGCACCAGATCACTTTGGGAAATCAGAAAGAGAGTACTGTGTTTAAAGCAAGTTAAATGTTATGTTACAATAGCCACATGCAGCTGGAAATGACAGCACACCAGGAAGGAAGTAAATATGCTACAGCCCCCTAGGATGTAAGATTTTTCCAGTTTTGATTATTGGCTTCTACCAAAGTTTTTTGTTTTGTTTTTTTCAGAGAATTTGAACAAACTCACTGGTTTGTTGTTGTTGGGTTTTTTGACTAGTACATTTAAATTTTTATCAATATATTTCAACTGCAGTAATGAGTATTCAAATTTTATTTTTTTCTTAATCATTTTCCATAATTTCATGGTGAGAAAATAGCTTTATAAACCCAATGAAAGAGTATATTTTAGGTAAAATTCTAAAGAAGCTAATTATTTTTTCTGTGAGTGAAACAGTTGAAGCACATTATAGCTACCAATTCCAAATCAACATATAAATGTTAGGATGTAGGTCTTAGATCTTTGAGTTCAAACATTTATTGTGCTTCTGAACAAGTCATTGAAACTGTCTGAGTCTCAGTTTCCACCTGCCTCCAAGGGTTACTGACAGGGTGGACACCAAGCACCTAGCCAGTGTTTAGCCCCTTATAGGTACCAGCAAATTCTAATTCCCCTCCCCTTTTCCCATCTCCATTCCCTCCCTTCCCTAGTTCTCTTAGTTAGAAAAATAAGTCTACGCTAAATCACTAAATCATTTTTTCCCCTTAGATCTAAACTGCAGAGGTAGAAAGCAGAAAACTTGGGAAATGACAGGTAATTTTTTTGTACTGGCCGCAGACATAGCTCTTCACCTGTCCTTGTACTACCTTATGGCTCCCGATTAACATGTTCAAACATTTCAGACTGGCCTCTGAAGCTTTTTTCTTAATCTCATTGGTTTCATTGGCAGTGTTACAGTACACAAGCCTGGGTGTAGAAAGCCAGGGGGGGTCTGGGCATATTTTCCTTTACAGATAGTACATTCAGAGCACTGTGGTCTCATGACTTGCCCTCACATATTTAGGAGAAAGATTACTAATTTGCTGCTTATTAATTTTTAAATGCCCTTCAGTGAACAGTAAACTGCTTAGTAAATTATTTGTTCTCTCTTTTCAGTATTGGCTCAAATCAACCTTTTCCTACCAAACCACTCAGTGAGTCAAAGAACCGTTTGTTGGACAGTGAATCTCAGTGGCCAGAAAATGGAGCTGAAGAAGGTGTCGCTAGAGCAGGTAACAACTGAAAATACTGCTTCGTTAGCTCAAATGAAAATCACCAGACTTAATAAATGTGGAAAAACAAAATGAAATTTTTGGTAAAACATCGTGTATCTGGGATGTTTGTGTGTAATGGTAGCTTCAGTGGGAAATAGGCAGAGGCAGACAGATGTAGTGGTTCTTTTGGCTTTAGGAGTATTTTAAACATTCTTTTGAGTTAGTATCTGTAGAGTCTTCATTAGGATGCTTTTTAGACTTCTTTTTTTTTTTTTTTTTTTTTTTTTTGGGTCCAGTCGTGGGGCCTGAACTCTGGGCCTGGGCGCTGTCCCTCAGCTCTTCAGCTCAAGGCTAGCGCTCTACCACTTGAGCCACAGCGCCACTTCCGGCTTTTTTCTTTTTGCTTATGTGGTGCTGAGGAATCAAACCCAGGGCTTCGAGCATACAAGGCAAGCGCTCTACCACTGAGCCACCTTCCCAGCCCGCTTTTTAGACTTCTTGTGTAAGACCACTGGGAACTTTTTTTTATGCACACACCTTAAAACTGTTATCTGTGGCTGGGAATGTGTCTAAGTGTTAGAGTGCTTGCCTAGCATGCATGAAGCACTGGGTTTGATTCCTCAGGGCATCTTAACAGAAAAAGCTGGAAGTGGCGCTGTGGCTCAAGTGGTAGAGTGCTACCCTTGAGCAAAAAAGAAGCTCAGGGACAATAACCAGGCCCTGAGTTCAAGCCCAGCACTGACCAAAAAGAAAATAAAAATAAACAAAAAACTTGTAATCTGAAAGCATTCTTACAAAACACTACAAATGATGGTATGAAAAAATAATCTTGAAATAACTCAAAAGTTCAACTGGACCATGTCCTCTTAAATTGGAAGGACAGTGGCATTTTTGAAATTTCAAATTTCCAGGGTAAACAACTTTTTAAAAATGTAGCAATCACATAAACCATTTATGACCTAGGTAAAAGCAAATTTTCTTGATACTTAACAGATCTTATACCAAGTAGGCAAGGATTTTGGCTGGATTTTTTGAAAAGCAGCTCATCCAGGGAAAGTTCATTTTTGGAATTCTTTTTATTATTGCCATTTCACAACAATCCTGTGTTTTAAGACCAGTGGATCTTTTCACAAGGATAAGCATGAAACCAAACATTTGACTCTTAACCACTCGCTACTCACTCCTGTGTCCTATACAAGGAAAAATGGTTGGTACCCAGAGCCTATTTAATGCTTTACATAATAGTTGTTTGATGTAATTAATTTTACCATTTATCCGGAAACTTAATACTTTTTTTTGTCATGTCATATATAATTATGTGCTTGCAGGGACAAATAACCATGTTACAGTGGCAATAGAAAATTGAGTACCACTTGTTCATAACTAACCATTTGATAATTTCAAGGTAAGACAGCATGAAGTTAACTTCTTTGAGCAAATGTAGTTTATTGGATATTTCTAATTTAAATGTTACAATTTCTTAACTTTTCAGTTATATCACATTGTAGGATATCATAAGTAGTATAGGAGAGACTGGAAGGTAACACATCTGGCAAAATCTGTTTTTTCGTACTATTTCTGGTAATTGTCAGTAAGTGCTGATTGGTAGATAGATGAAGAAACTAAAAGAGATAGTTAAGGACTGATGTAGACAACTAACCTTTTTATCTTATTAATTAAGGCAAAAAAAAATTAAGGCAAAATTATTGAAGAAACTAGATCCAAAGAAGAATGATTAAAGTCAAAAGCCCAAAACAAGATTTAAGTGATTCACTGATAATATTTAGTTTTGTGGAGTTACAGCACAAGTCACTGCCACAGGTCCATTCCTTCAAGGCAGGTGTAAGGTGCACACTTTTCCAAGGGGATCTGGAATCTCAAGGAAGCACGTGCCTCCTTGTTATCAGTTCACTGCCAGGTCTTCCAGAGTTCCTGTCCAGGCTAAGAGCCAGAGCCCAAGACTACAGAGTAGGTGATGGAAGTCTCATACTAGTCAGACAGATTGCAGTCTGAAGAGGAGCTGCAGGACTTGCATGTGTGACAACCATTGGGCCTACCCACACTACCCATGGCTGCAGCCAGGGACAGGTGCTCAGACCTGCCACATTGTTTCTTAAGTAAGCCAAATACTGGCTTCTGTATCTGGTTAAGAGTCTACAGTTCAGGTTTCTCTCACAGTTGCTGCAGGAACTTCTCCATTAGTATTATAAGTGGATGTGCGTTCTCAAGGAATGGCCAAGCTCTAACAGGCAGGGAGTACGGAAAGACACCTTCCCCTCTTTATCTTTCTGGATTGCTTCAAGGGAAGAAAGTCATATCCTTGTATTTATTGCTTATAAAACTGGTAGAATGGGCTGAGAATTCAGCTTAGTGGTAGAGTGCTTGCCTAGCATGCAGGAAGCACTGGGTGCTATTCCTCAGTACCACATAAACAGAAAAAGTCAGAAGTGGCACTGTGGCTCAAGTGGTAGAGCTTTAAGCAAAAGAAGCTCAGGGACATCGCCAGGCCCTGAGTTCAAGCCCCAGAACCGCAAAAAAACAAAAAAACAAACAAACAAAAAAAAAAACTGGGAGAATACTATTAGAATTTAAAGATTTGTTTCCTATTTTGTACTATTATTAGCACCTTTATATCTTAGCCTGTTAAACCATTTTATACTTTGAGAAATTTAAGAAAATAAAATTTTAACTAATAATTCAATTGTTTCTGTTTTTGTAGGTATATAAAAACATTGTGGACTAATACTTTCTATTTTATTTGCAAGAAAGTGACCAACAGAACGGAATAATGCAAGTATAACAGAAGATATATATTTTTTAATAAAAGGAAGCCTTTATGCAGTTTGCTGGATCCACAGAAGCACTACGGAGCAGAAAGATGCCTTAATTCAAGAGTTCACTTGTGCAACATTGACTCGCAGCTCAAAAGTGACTTACTTTTACTTTGGAAATAACATGTACCTGTCATGAGATGCTATGATATGAGCTGTTGTCACATATCAACATGGCATATGTATTTTCTTGATACCTGACTTAGAATACTAGAGTTCTTAGTAGCCATATAAATTGTCCTTCAAAAAACACAAGCTAAAAACTTAAGTACATCTAGGCCAGTTGGCAGCTGAAAGCAAATAATATCCTAATTACTCTTGCTTGTACTGTGTAAGGGAAAAGAAAATAACTGCTTTTTTAAATTGGGTGTTTGCTAATTTATAATTACTGTTTTATACTTTTCAACATTTTTAATACAGTTTTTTATTGTTGGCTATAAAAATAACACTCAGAAGGATTCAGATGTCTAAATGTGTTATCATTTAGAATATAGAACACACTAGTATAACTCATTGACCACTTAGTGAGAAGCATTAATACAACTGTGTACTATAGTATAGTGCTTGCCCAAGAAAAATACTTGGCAGTACATGAAATATTTTAGGTCCTTACAGCTGCTTGATAACTGTTTATTGACTTTTCAGGGGTATTTATATGGGCAGGGAAACAGGTATCTATACTATAGAAAGATTAGAAGTAACTAGAAGAGAAACAGAAAGATAGGCAGGATGCTATAACGTGCTTAAAAATATTTTAAATCTTAAAAGTATTTAGAATGAAACATGTTATTGAGTTAACTTCAGATTTCTTTTTTGATAATAACAAAATTACTGTGATACTTTTTACAGTATTCCTGTAACAGGTTAACTATTGATCATTGAAACTAGGGGGGCTAATCAACTTGTGAATAATAGAGTTCTCAGGAAGAAATTTAAAATCCTGAGTAGTCACTTAAAATTCCCAGTCTCAAGCCAAAATTCCTAAGAGCAAGCTCTGTCCCTTAAGTAGTACTTCATTTAAAATCTAGGCTCAGTGGCACCAGTGGGTATATTCTAGAGCATAGTACAGTGTGCTGTAAAGTATAATGTAAAAATATTACTCGTTTATACCGCTTAATCAAACACCGAAGCCCAAAATAATTGCTTCCCATAGTCTGGCAGAGATCTTACCAGCACCTATAGATAGGACAGGTTGATCTGAAAAGGATCACAGGGGAAAGAAGGTGCCTTCGAGGTGCTGGACCACATGGCTTCTAATATGCTGCAGTGCCCAGTTTTGTATTTAGGGAATACCTTCTATCCATTGATTGGGATGCTAAGGTTTCCTAATCCTCCATAAACCAGATAGTGGCTGCTCCAGTTTGCTTTGTTTTGGTTTGTTTTTTTTATTATTGTTTGCATTCTGCCTCTGGACTCTTGGCCTGCAGCAGTGAAGAGAGTTGTTTGGTCAGCTGTGCCCTTGTTGCTAAGTGCATCTGTTTTCTCTTGTAACACTACAGCAAAGTCCTTCATCTTCTGTACTCATGAGTGCCAGTTTAAGGGTGGCTTTGAGATAGCATCACTTCTTTAGTGATCTGCTGAGATAGAGCATCTTTTGATGACTGATAATCCTTGTGAGTTGTTAATCTTTCTCTTCAGAGCACTAGCAACTTTACACATTTGAGAGTTTTGCCTGAGTGAGGTATTCCTTACCTTTAAGCTGAAATACTTGGAGAAAGAGGAGATTTCATCCTGTAGGAGACAGTTTTCAATAGTTTAGGATTGTGTGATTTCTCAGCCTTCTCCTAGAAGCATGGCTGCATCATTAAACCCTTCTATAAAGCTTTTCATGGTGCTGTATGGAGTTATTTCAGAGAAGGTAGCAGTCTGTTTTAACTGGTTTATAAAAGCTGATCCAGTAGGCAAATGAATCCATTGCCCTCCAAATCAAACAGTTCATGGGAAATTTATGTTGAGTTCTTCCATTGCAAGCCATGTTGCTACTTCTTTGAAATCCAGAGTTAGATTCAGATCATTAGTGGGTGCAGGGACTTCCTGGGCTTGCTCATTGCAAACAGAGCATTGAACTTGTTGGTTCTCTGTTACATTGGGTTGTAGCTAGGCAGCCTTTACAATTGGCACTTAAGGCCCCTTCTCCATTGTGAAGTAACCTGTCCTCCTTGATTTAGCCTTTCAGTTCTATCATAACCTCATATTTTTGATTAAGGGTCACAGAAAGCATGCTCACAATGACTTGAGACTGCTCTTCCAGCAGCTGTAGACTTTGCTTTAGTGGTCCAGGCTATTGCCATACAGGAAGCAAAGTGCTTTGGGAAGAAAGCAAGGTCTGCCTCACTGATGGCACTTATCCTGGTGACATTGTGTTGGTGTCCCCTCAGTTTACAACCGAAAGGATTTGTTGGATTTCCACAATGCTAATATTCAATCTTACTGGGTGGAACTGGGAATGTGGCTTAGTGGTAGAGAGCTCGCCTAGCATGCACGAAGCCCGTGTTTGGATTTCTCAGTAGCACATAAACAGAAAAGGCCAGAAGTGGCACTATGGCTCAAGTGTTAAGAGTGCTAGCCTTGAGCAAAAGAAGCTCAGGGGCAGTGCCCAGGACTGGCCAAAAAAAAACTTATTAGGTAACTTTTCTCCCCTCTTTGGACCAAAAGACTGCATTAGCTTTGAAGACTTAGTTCGGAGTACTATAATATAGATTCTTCTACCTTTGTTTCAACACTTAATTTTAACAATCTTGATTCTGCAAAACTAGACTGAGAATTAAGAGAGATTACCAAAAACAACTTCAGTTTTGTGGTTTCCATTATTATAAGGGATTGGTAAATGCTTAAATCTACTTGATCACTTTCAGAAACATTCTGGTCCTTTTGTATTTGTACATGTAGATCAAAGGATTTGCATGCACCTGGCTGATGAGTAAGGAAGAAATTTCCCTTAAAACTATATTCAGGAATTTTTGTGGAATTATAATCTTTCTCAACTTTTCATTAGCTAGTTATCCTTACCTTAAATAGCATAGTAAAAACCTCTTCGGAATTTTTTTTTTGGTCAGGTCATGGGGCCTGAACTCTAGGCTTGGGCGCTGTCCCTCAGCTCTTCAGCTCAAGGCTAGCGCTCTACCACGTGAGCCACAGCACCACTTGCAGCTTTTTTCTTTTTGCTTATGTGGTGCTGAGGAATCAAACTCAGGGCCTCATGCATGCAAGGCAAGCGCTCTACCACTGAGCCACCTTCCCAGCCCCCTCTTCTGAATCTTTTAAAAGCTTTAATTACTTTAACCTAGAGCCAACATTTTTGCCATATTTAGCCTTTCCCCCATCCCAGTATTGGGCATTGACTCCAGTACTGAGTTATATCCCCAGCCCAGGCAGAAGTTATTTATACATATTAATGCCCATTCATTAAGGGCCTTCAAGTGGTATGGGAATCAGGGAAAGGCTGCCTCTTTGGTATTTCAACTGGTATTGAATAATGCTCAATTGTTTGAAGAGCCAAGGTCAACATGAAGCCTTGCCAAATTTTCTACTTACTTTTATCCTTCAAGCACTTGAACATTTGTGATGATGCTTAAGAAAATGAAGTAAAATTTCAGATTTTGCCGTTGCCATTAAACACAAACTAGATGAGATGTTTCACCTGGTTCAAGATTTACTTGACTATTCAGTATCTGAGGCCTCTAATCAGTATCATTATGCCAAACCAAAGAGCAGCTGCACTGTATTAATTAAAAATGAACATGTTTACAATATTTAGTTTCACCTTTTCATAAGGATGATTAAAAAAAAACTCTTTACATGTGTAGTGGCTCTGACAAATGTGTATGTCATCAATGAGCAAAACTGTAAAGTTAGGAGAAATCAAATATGCAATGTTTACTTGAATTTCATTCTGTTAGCAAATTTTGACTATGTTTACAGGAGTGTTTAAGATGATCCAGATATGTAAGATCTTCAGTTGTCTTTAAAGCAAATCCATATTAAGGGCTTAGTGTTAGGACCTGTGTATTTGGGAATTGAATAGACATTAACTTACAAATATGTTCCACTTACATTCTGTTCTATAAACTAGGACTTCTATCAATGGATAGGTATTTTTAATCTGTTAAAAAATTAATCCTATTTTTGCATTTTCAGCCAAACTGAAGACCATATCTAACAATACATTAGATACAGGTATTTAAATCTGAAAATCGTATGTTTCATATTACCTAAACTGTATTTTTCAATTTAACTTTAAAATATAGACTCAGAAAGGTCCATATTTTTCTAATGACTTCACGCTGTTAATTTGTCAGGTTGCATAAAGAAACAAGGGATTGTAATTTGTATTGAGAGTAAGAAAGCTGTTAAGTTTATTATATTTGTACATGATTGCAGATGCATCTATGCTTGTTTAAAAGATGGACACTATTTTAAAGTGATCTTTACTATGCTTTTATATAAACAAATTTGAAATACAGTTTACTTTAGTTATCTTTACTTACCAAATACCATAAGCCTTGTATTTATTTCTCATTTGTATAATTCTGGACCATGACTTAATATTGACTTTGCTTTTTTTGTTTATTTGTGGCCTAACCTACATTAACGTGTGTGCAGAACATTTTTACATATTTCCCCAAAAACCATAATTACTTTATTAATAAACAAATAAAGGTCTGATCTTGTTTTTTTTCAGTAATTTTGATGTTATAAAGGATTATTTCCAAATGAGACAATAATGATGTTGGTAAGCTTGGAAAGCTGGTAAAAGCATTGGTTGGTTAGAGGAAGATATTGACTAATAATGTGGGGAAATATTTCTCAGGTATAATTTTGATGTAATGAAATCGTACTTGGCTTAGTTTGGCTAAACGTTTAAAATTTTACTGAACATAATTTCATAATTAAGGAGCTGGAAACTGGTGGTTCGTGCCTATAATCCTAGCTACTCAGGAGGCTGAGATCTGAGGATAGTGAGACTCTTATCACTTAAGCACCATAAAAGCTGTGGCTAGCATCATGGAACTGTGGCTAAATTTGAGCAACAAGATCAGGGACAGTGCTCAGACCCTGAGTTCAAGCCCCAGGACTTGTACACGTACACACACACACGCACGCACACACACACACACACACACACACACACACACACACACGACTTTACAATCTTGAAATACCTTCAGGTCAGTATAGTACTAGATTTAATCTTGTAGATTCCTTTATGTCATATGTGTTCCTTTTCCTGTGCAAAGCCTGGGGAATAAACAAGGAGACTGAAGGTTGAGCTCTGATTGTCAGTTCTCAGAATAGTGAAATTCTAAGATACTTTCAAGAACCAACTGCAGCCCAAAGAGATGAAGAATCCCTTCCCCTCTTCAGAATACTATGTTGTGAGTAGGGGAAGCTATGAAGTGGCCAAAATGGTTGGACAATAGGGGAGTAGAATAAATGACAATTTTGTGACTTTGTTTTT